TAATTTTACTTCCGAACGCTCCTATCCTGGGATTTTAGAACTCACAGTTTCGAAATCTCATTGCCAAATGTAATTACTCGAAATGAACTCAGGGGATTGCCCGCGAAAACATTCTGTCTTCATCTATGTTAAAGGAGCAAGGTCATACGATACACCTCTTCTGCATAAAGGTATTAGTTTCTGAGCTAACAGAGCAGTTTTCATTTGAGTGTCGAAAGACAATTGGTATTGCATTATATGCTACACGATTGGCTTAAAAAAACTTGTGCCACTTTTTCATCCAATCAGCAGTAAAAACAAAACCAATCGTAGGTCTCTGGCACTCGTTTTCCCGCGCTTCGCGCAGGGTCAACTACCTGTAACTACTTCGAGGTTTGATTGGTTTACTGTACTAATTGCGGTGTCACAAGTTGTGAATGGCTTGAGTGATTACTTTGGGTTTGGTTTCACGACACTCGACTGAAAACTGCTCGAAGCTAAGCTATTTTGGAGTTGATAAAGGTAAATTAAGCACTGTAGCTAGTTGGTGGAATTAACGTTTTGAGAGTTAATTAGCCCTTCACCAACCACTCCTGTTCTCTACTTTGCTTGTTTTTACTTGTTCTATTTTAGGTCGGTCTTGCAGTGGGAGATATTGAAAAGATTCAAGTCAATGCGTTGATTGATCGCTACGTCATGCAGGTAGAAGAGCCACTAAGTAGTTATTACTATAATTATTCTTCAGAAAATAATATCAACGCAAAGAAAAGACCTTCTTGAGCAGGGACTCCCATGTTAGAACGGCCAGTATGCACATGGACGAATTTAAAATTAAGCCCATTTCAGTCTGGACGTGGCTCCAGCCTAGTTGACGCTTAAACGATACACAAATTAGAGCTACTAAGGGATGGACAATTTGCCTTATGAGGGGTGGGGGTGGGTGATTTTGAAAAAATATCCAGCATGCATGCTTGTACTGAAGAACTCATGCAAAGGACCACTATCAAAAAGAATAATTCACCACGTTCAATGAGCCGAAAAAAATCATGTTATATAGAGAAAAAAATAACATGCATACCCATGTCCCCAGGAAAAAAAATTCTAGAGAAGAAAAGGGTTTAAAAAAACTCATGCCTATACCAAATCACCCCCTCCCTCCCCCTGAAAAGTTAAATGGGTTTAATGACATTAAGGACATTGCTATCGGATACTTTTCTGTATGATGAAATTTAAAGATTTCTTATCAAACGTACATACATAAACTATATTTTTTCTCGAATTTAAGAGAAGCTATTAACAAGATAATTTTTCCGAGAGAAAAATGAGGAAAGAAATCAACATAATATACAAACTACAAGTCTGTGCAATATTTAAAATTAACGGCTAGAATGAAATAAATCTGTATAGTGAATATTTTAAAATACTATATTAAGCAGAAATTTAATTTACAAAATGTCCCAAAATTACATTAAGTAAAGGATAGCTAATACCTTTTTCAAGTCATTAAAGTTCAAAGTTCAAACAGTGTCCGGCAGTGAGTTCCATTGTTTAACGTCATGACAAGAAAAAGAGCGAAGGCCATAAGTAGTAGTTTTAGGTACAGGCAGTGTCAGAATGCAGTTACCGCGTAAATTATAGGAGGTAGTATGGAGAGTAAACATATTCCTCGTGCAGATAGGATACTTAGCTATAGCTCCTAGCTATGAATTTATAGTGAGTAATTCGAATTTCTCCTTGCCCTCTTCAATTGCTTATTTTGAATCAATTCGCCGTTACTGCACGTTCATTTCTGTTTTTTTTTTTGTTTTTTTTTCGTCTACTTACTTTTCAGGTCGAGTTGGTTTTAGATATGGAGGAAACTGTTCCGAAAAAATTTGCCAATCGTGCTCATGTTAAAAAACATGTAGAGTATCCAAACAAGGATGAATCCAAGGTATTTTGACTTTATACAAATTCATTCATCTTTTGAACGTTTTACCGACAACACAACGTTTTTTATTCTCGTTAATACTGCTAAATGGAGAATGGCAAGTAATAAAGCAAAGTCAGTAAGAATAATTTGAACTGAAGTTTTGATGAGGGGAGGGGGGAGGGAGAGAAAAGATACCATCGTCTATTATGTGATACAGTGTCTCTTGTCCGAGTGCAACGGCTTTAGTCGTTTAATTTAACTTGAAGTGCTAAATACACCATAGCGAATACCCAAAAAGGATCAGTACGAGGTATCAATTTTGAGATGTTATTCTTTGAATCAGCTCTATGAGCATCTTCTAGGCTTTAGCCGACCAACAGAAGAGGAGGAGGAGAATGCAGCCCCAGAGCTTCCTCCTGAATTTCAGCCGCTGATAGAGAGAATGGAAGAGCAAGAGAACAGGTACGAGATTTGCTATGACGGTCTTGTATAACGTTCTATTTTACTCTATTTTTGACCAAAGTGCTTTCAGATTGTCGTTTCATCGATCGTTTTCACTTTCAAAATAGAGATCAACGCAACACGTGTGGTAACACTGTGGCAACCACGCGAGGACTGCATCAATCATATCTAAAAATAACTTGAGGGATTAACTTGAAAGTGAGGCTTATATGGGGGATTAACTTTCTTACTCTTCATTCTCTCCTGACTGTAACTATCCTTGTTTCATTCCTCTTTGCAGAATCAAAGGAATATACCAGCTGTTAGAGGAACAATCAAAAATGCTCAAATCGATAAATCAACTGAAGCACGCAGAGGAGGAATTTCGGCAGTCACAGCAGAGAAAAATCTCAAGACGATTAGCTCCCCACAGGTTCTAGGTTTAGTTTATAAGTCCCCTTTCTTTACATCATAGCTGACATTATTACACTTATTAATCGTTCAAATCAAATATTTGACTGTCGAGCGGATGAAAAAACCTGTCAAACCAGTCGTACCAACGATGACAGCCAATCAAAGCGAGAGAAAGCATTTGTCATTATTCTAAAGATAAGAGACACTATCAATCTCATTGAAAAGTTGAGAAAGTAGATTAGACCAATTATCGTTGCCAAAAGGAATAAATTGACAACGACGTCATACACAGGCTAATTAAATTCCACTGCAAAACATTAATGTATTTCTCTGTTACGTTAATGAGTTTCTCTGCTAAAAAAAGGGTTTAATCCCTTCCCTACTGTATTACTCGTACTTAGCTTTATCAATGATTCAAGTTAAGCGTTTTCAATACATTGCATTCTTTTCATTCAGAAGTATTTAGTTTTTCGATGATTCGCTGCAGTTTATCATATTTAGCCTCTGAACACTGTTACCTGTTACATTTGCAGTTAAGAGGCTGGGTTAAGGTATTTTACTTAATTCTGTTTATTTTCGGTAATTACGAGGTTTAAACTTCAAATTGACAATGTAACTGTCTTCTTCGAGCAAAATCACAGCCACACAACAAACTGGGATGATTTTCGACCGCTATAAATAGCGCCTTCATACTAATTGAGATGAACTTGAAAAAAGTTGGTCCGCTGTTTTTCAAGTTTACCCGAATGCAATCCGTTTCAATGTTCTCAATTTTGCCCATCCATGCCTCCTTTTGGCTTTTCTGTGTTGCTTTTAAGTTTTTCATAGTTTTAAGCCGTTATATAATGTGGTAATGATCATTTGGTTAGTCATAAACTTGACTAAAATTGTGTGACCCAACCCCTAGTCTTCTCAACCAGCATTTTAACTACACGTATTATGAGCCGAAAATCAGTCTCTCTTTCAATTACTTCAAGTCATTTATTCCGAGTTAACATGACCCATTCCCAAAGGAATAGTTTGCTTTTTTTTCCAGCAAGTTGTAAGACTGAGGATAGTATTGACTGTTAATAAAGCTAATGGAGTTTAATTACTAGAGGTCTCTGCGTTTATCTCTGCACTTGATTATCTTCTAAGCAAGGTCGTTTTTCTTGCAACAAGCTCTGAACATTGTTCCATGTCACCGTAATTCTCTGGTAAAATCTTTACAAACTGGAAATAACAAAGGAAAGATTTTCTTTTCAAAGAAAATTGTTTCCCTTTCACCGTGGTCATTAATTTTTCTCGCACCAGCCATGCGCCGAAAGTTGAGCCCATTTAACTTCAATGAGTCTTCTAGCGATGATGACCCTATGTTATTCCCCTTAAGACTGAGGTCATTTTTTTTTTTCAAGAAGCCAAATTGTTTTAATATCGCTTTCAACCTGTGTCACTTTTCCAGAAAATACCATAGAAAAGTTTTGTCATTTAGCCTTAGGAAATTCAAATACTCAGCAAATATTCCGTGTTCCCCATTAGTTTGCAGGTTGCTTTCCCTGGCCATTTAATTTTTGTTTCCTCCACGTGCGTTTCCTCAATACATGTCCTATTTTAACTCCCTCATGGCCTACTCGCTGCGGTAGAATGAA